TCACATTAAATGCAACAATAATTCGATTGTCAAATTGATCTTTTCACAAAAGTACAAGAGCTTTAGGTATCTTTTTGTTGGAAATTAAAGAAATAAAATAAATATTAATCGGGTATCGATGAACTGAAAAACAAATAATGGTATTGGGTTTTATGGTTACTCGACTTACGGGTACCCGCATATTACTGGCTAAGACATGGACCAAGTTTTTGGCACTCGAAAATCTCAAATACTTGAAAAGGTGAGCACATAAATATAAACACCCCTAACTAATACGGATGATAAAAAATTATGTATTTAATAAAATTTATATTTCATATTTCATATTATTCAGTATAGTCAGATATTTAAAATTTATTATGATTATTTTTATTAATTATAAGACATCGAAGCTTAACCATAAATTGTTTTTAATACATGAATTTTATATATTATTTTTTATCATTTCTATTAATGTTATTATAAAATGGTTATTTATTTTATATTTTAATATTATATGAATCTCATCATGTTCTCTAGACTAGGGATGGGAATGAGACCTGAACCCGACCCGATCGGGTCAGGTTTTTTAAAAAAATATTTGGGTTCGAGTCGGGTTTTTTTATGTAATGTTCGAGTCGGGTCAAGTTCGGGTTTAGGGTGAAAAATACCCGACTCGACCTGAAAAAATATATAATTTTACCTTGTATATTTAGAAATAATTACAATAATACCCCTCTATATATTATTTTTTTCAATTAAGTCATTATTTTTATTGAATAAAAATAATATTTTTTTTATTATTTCGAACCGGGTCGAGTTTGTGTCGGGTGGAATCTCGTTTTGATCAGGTCGGGTCGGATCTCGGGTGGAGGGTTTCTTGTTCTCGAGTCGGGTCAGGTGGACCAAAAATCCGACCCGACCCAACCTATGCCATCCCTACTCTAGATTATGCTTTAAATATTATTATTATTATTATCTTAAGAAAATATCCAAAGATATTCTAATTAATAATAATAATCGTATAACACTCTTAATAGGAGTCTGATGAGTCTGATTTTGTTTAATATTTAATCTATTGTTATAGCAATCACCGAAAAGTTTAAACCCTACAAATTTCACAATTTACAAGTGTTTATACGAATGATAAAAATAACTTCTATTTCAAATAAAACTTAGGGATGATGGTGTTTATACGTGCAACTAGGCTGCAGTTATTGAAGTAAAAAATACACTATAACACATATTGGTATTTATATAAGAGTAACCGATGCAATGTGTTCCCTGATAACAAGTTCTTTGAAACATGAGAACAATAACTGCTTCAATTATTGTGATATGCTCTCTAGACTGATGGGTCAGTTAGGTTTTTCGACCTTCGCGACAAGGAGCACTCCATTATTATTTATGAGAGTTCGGAGCCTGATACTCTGCTTGTACGGTTGGGGTGGAAAAAGAAGGACCCAAGATACATGGCCACTATAATTATGGACAGTGCTAAGGTGGTTGTTTTGGATATCCGCTTCCCTACACTGCCGGTGGTTGAGCTATAGAGGCACCAGGCTAGTGTCAATGCTATAGCGTGGGCACCCCACAACTCTTTCCATATTTGCACTGTCGGGGATGATTCCCAGGCCTTGATTTGGGACTTGTCCTCCATGAGTCAGCCTGTGGAGGGTGGACTTGACCCAATCCTTGCCTACACCGCCGAGGCCGAAATTGAGCAGTTACAGTGGTCAACTTCCCAGCCTGATTGGGTGGCCATCGCGCTCTCCACCAAGCTTCATATTGTCAGGGTATGAGTGTATGGAATTGGTATGTTGGGTAGTAACATTCAATGCTAAATTTAATAATTCTTAGTGTAGTAATTGTACTCAAATCTATGGGAATAACAATTGTTGTTGTTGTGTCTAAAATCTCGAAACTGTTTTGGTTCTGATGCTTGGATAGTTGATTGAAAACATCTTCCTTATGACTATACCAATCTCTTTAACCTGGAATATATTTGGTGTTTGCCTTTCCTTTACATCCAAAACTTTCCATGTTTTATTTGTAGTTATGAGAGCAAAAGAGCTGCAGATTCATTTTTTTAGAACGCTTGGGAAGCAATGATTTATGGACCGTGAACTGAAACACAAGATCAAGACAACCACTCTTTGTGGTTTGGTTTACACAACAAGATCTCTGTTGTTCTGTTGGACAAGATGAGAGTGATTTCAGTTTCTTTGGTTTTCTGCAAAGTTTAATTAGTTACTATAAATGTGATAAACAATGGGCACGAAGATGGGTGGGGGTACCTTGGGCTGCTTTGAGATGCTTGTGTTTGTGTTAATGTTAAACTAGCTTTAGCCATAGAATTGTTATGAACATGACTATGTTCCCGACTGATCCATGGAGAACCAAATCAGTTATAACCTTGCAGGTGGAACTTGGAAGGATAGAAGCCGATATAGCAATGGCATCAATGGGCAACTACATGACCAAAACACAGTGAGTTTTTTTTATATATATTTGATCTAATCTAATATGATCTATAGTTTATGGTTATACTTGTATTGTTTTTCTAGGCAATCATGTATAAAAGGAAGAGAGTGAGAGCTACCTCAAAGACTGTGGTTGATCCTAAACCCTCAAAATCCAATACAAATGATGAGATAATTAACGATCAACGTAAGAGAGATGATATTTTTATTTTATTTTTAGATATTAATTTCAGATTTTTTACCATGTTTTTTATAAGTTATTGACAATCATTTGTTTCATTATGTAGTTTATGGTTTATCTCGACCTTTGGTTCAATTTGTTTGCTAATAATTCGTGTCATTGTCGTTCGTTTCCTTGTCGTTTATTTCATTATGTTGGATTTTGATATTTATTTAGTCATAATAACAATTTATAACAATTATTAATTTCTCAATATAAAAAATTATGACAAAAAATATTCTTTCATAATAACAAATTGAAACAAATTTATTTAGTTACAATAACGTAATAAATTTATTCAAAATAAAAATTTGTGTCAAATTTATTTTGTCACAATATTTTGTCGAAATAAAAAAATTCTGACAAATTTATTTAATCAAAATAATAATTTATAACAAATATTAATTTCTCATCTTAAAGAATTGTAACAAGTAATATTCTTTCACAATAACAAATTGTAACAAAATGATTTATTCACAATAACACGTTAAATTTAGTTAAAGTAAACAGTTATGTCAAATTTATTTGGTCTCAATATTTTGTCAAAATAAAAATTGTGACAAATTTACTTAATCAAAATAACAATTTGTAACAAATATTAATTTCTCATTTATAAAAAATGTGACAAATAATATTCTTTCACAATAACAAATTGTAACAAAATTATTTAGTCACAGTAAAAAAGTTATAAAAAATATTTAGTGACGAAATAAAAGTAGTGAGAAAATAAATTTTGTTGTAATGTCTTTTTGTCACAAAAAACTTTTTTGTTTGATGTTATAATTTAACTTAATTGTGACGAAATTTACTTTTTATGATAAAATAATTATTTTATTTTAACAAATATTTTGTTTCTGTAAGTTACATTTAGTGACGAAATAGTAACTGCGACAAAATTATTTTTGTTGCCTTATGTATTTTCGTCACAAAAATCCTTTGTATGTGATATTTAAATATAAGTTAGTTATGACAAAATGTACTTCTCGTGACAAAATGGTTAATTGATTGTTTATTGCAATAAGTTAATTATAGTAACGAAATTTCATTATTACAATAAATACTATACTATGGTAACGAACACAATTTTGTCGCAATATACTTTACATGACAAGGTTGTTCTAACAAATATGGTAACAAATAATATTGGTCATAATAAATATATCGTGACAAATTTAGTACTTTTAGTGATAAATAATTTTGTTGAAATAATCTAAATTTCTTGTAGTGGTATGACACCAATAGGAAGGTATCGATATTGTATTTGGAAAAGAGAATTCCAGAATGCTAAAATGGTATTGGTACTGAAGTGGGTATCGGTATCATAGAAGAGAAGTATCGGTACTGTGGGTAGAGTACCAATACTATTCAGTCGAAAATGTTAATTAAGTGTTTCATTTCACTTCAATAAAAGTTAATAGGTTAGGTGTTAATTGAGTTCCAATATTCATATGGGTCATGTTATGTGTAGATTTGATTGAAAGCAAATGCGAAACGAAAGGACGTACCAAGATAAAGTGAAAGAGAGAAAAAGTTGCTTAGGGCTTAAGTGAGGCAAAGGTGAGTTCTATTTACTTATTTTATTTATGATTGGAGGAAGGCTGGCGATGAGCCAACCTCAAATGTTTTTGAATAAAATGAAATACTATGGGTATATGTGAAGTTTTTCTATGTGAATATGTTTTATATAAATAAATAGATAAGTTGAATAATGATATGTAACATGAAATAAGCATGTGAATCACTATGAGTGATTGTTATATTTGATTAAATAATAAAATGTGATAATGCTATGTGACAATGTTCTACGTGAAATGTTATGTAAATATGTGCTAAGTTGATATGTTCTATGGAACATAAATAATAAGTGAAAAATGTTAAAAGGAATGCTATGAATAAATTCTTTATGCGAATAAAAGATACTTGATTAATATCCGTATGACTTTCCAAGTACTACCCATCTTATCTAAGTTGAAGAATACACAAAAAAATCCCAGGAAATAATGAAGGAGAAATAAAGGAAGGGTTTTTTAAGCAATTGTTAAGTTGTTGATTTTTTTTCTTATTACGAAAGAGAGGATAAAGGGGGGAAAGGTTTATAAATTTGATAATACTGTAAATTCAGAACTGATTGATATTTTGATGGATTTTTTATGGGTGGTGGTGGTGGTTGTTTTAGGTTGCAAAATACTACTCCAGTGACCTATTAGGCGGTTTTGGCAAAAAAAGATGATCTTTTGGAGGATGTGGAACGAAAGCTTAACAAATCAGAGGTGTTACTGAAGAGCATGAGAAGCTTTTGGGTAACACCCAGAGGAGTTGGACACTTTTTGTGGATGGATATGGAAATGATGGAAGACGGATTTATGATTCCTTCAAAGGAAAGACTTGTCATCAATGCCGGTCTGTGAATCTGTCTTATTCCATCTTCATTATATCTGCCATGGGAATATGATATAATTGCACAACATGATTCAATTATACACTTCTTAGCTGCCAAAGTTGGCAGTTTTAGTTTCTTGCTGATTCAAAATGGGCCAGTTACGTTCGACGAAACACATTTTGGAGTTTCTAGTTTTTTTCACCTTTATCCTACACATTTAATGACTGTAGTTTCATCGATGAGCTATTATATGTTCTCAATGGTCATCTAAGAAATATAGTTGAACAGACTTTAATTAACTTGCTTTAACTTGTATTTTGCTTGTAACTGTTACTTTGTTAATTTAAGAAAGCATTTTAGTTGTGATGATCATTCAGATGAAAGAGATATCCACATTGCTTTGGAAAACATTGTTTTCTAATGATATTTTATTGATATTACTCAATATTTTGTACCGTGAGTCTATGCTGTTAAATTGATTTCATTAAGTCGTGTCATGAAAATGCTGTTCTGCAGGCAGAAAACGCTTGGTCATCGTACTCACTGTGTTAAATGCAATATGGTCCAAGGGCAGTTCTGTGGAGATTGTTTATACATGAGGTATGATTTTTTGCTGATGTAACTCAACCTTTTTCCTCCATCTTGTCTTGCAGTTGTAGATATCCTTGCATATGTCATTAAATATTGATTTTTCGAGCTTTCAGCTGGAATATTATTTTGTAGATCTTTCTAAACTTTTAGATCGAGATATTCATTCCTTTCTATTGGTGGTTTTGTCGTTAATTTTCATTCTGAACCGGCAGGTACGGGGAGCGTGTTCTTGAAGCCAATGAGAATCCAAATTGGGTTTGCCCCGTGTGTCGTGGAATTTGCAATTGTAGTTTGTGTCGGCAAGCAAAAGGTTGGGCTCCTACTGGCCCTCTTTATAAGAAGGTAAGTCCATCAGTTGAGCATCTTCTTGCTCGTACATTTTTTTTAATGTCTAAGCTTCTATATCCAACTGCCAGATAGCAAAATTGGGCTTCAAGTCGGTTGCACATTATCTCATTAAAACCCGGTGTGTGCAAACCAATATTGGAAATGATCCAGATAATACCGATCAAGTTTCTGCTAAGCGGTCTCTTTTCTTTCCTGTCCCGGAATTGCCATCTGAGGTCGATGAGCTTGTAACACCAAAGTCTCAAACTGGAGAGGATGGCTTGACAAGTGAGAGAAAAGAATACAATGCACACCCAGAATCAAATACATTGATATTCTCAAAGAATGAAACAGTATTTGAGAAGGAGGAGCCTACTGAGATCAACCTTGATGTCCATGGGCAACATGAAAAAGATACCAGCCATGATGAGACCACGGGGGTTAATGGTGAAGTTTTGGATGGTGCTGGCGAAAATGTAGATGAAAACTGTACTGCAACAGAGAGTAGACAAAAGCTAACGAAGAGGCTGTTATAGTATTGCTCTAAGGGACAAAGAGCAGTGTAAAGTAAACAAGATCAAAGAGAGAATATCAGGAACGTAAAACTTTTCTCATTTCAACATATCACTCTCAATTATTGAGAGATGTATTTATACAATTGGTTAAAACAAACCAAGAAGCTTAACAGCTCATAACCACCTCAACTAACACTTAACAGCCTAACAGCACGTGAAGGATTAGTTAAAACTAACCCAGCTCCAGCTCATACACCAACATTCTCCTTACTTTACTACTGGCTTTCCTTAAGCTCTTTAACGCATACGTGAAGGATTAGTTAAAACTAACCCAGCTCCAGTTCATATTCCAACACTCCCCTTGCTTTACTGCTGGCTTTCCTCTAGCTTTTAAACGCATGCAAGACACGCAGAATCATGCATCAATATTCCCCCTACAACAGACTGTCCTATTTCTTACCACCATTCCTAAAATATTGAAGTGACAGATTTGCCTTGGACCTGTGAGACAAGTAAACGCTGCCTATGTCTAAGAAACACTAAAGCAGAAAGCAGTTTAGTTAGAACATCAGCAACTTGCTCAAAAGCATGTACCTCCTGAACCGATAGCTTGCCAGCAGCAACCATTTCCCTAACAAATAACAGATCAAGTTCAACATGTTTGAACTTGGAATACAGTATCGGATTCACACAGACCGCGACAACACTAGAATTGTAACACCACAAGATAGGTTTCCCATGAATGGGCACCCGCAGCTCACTCAACAGTGATTCAAGCCATACCACCTCCGCAGCAGCACAAGCAACACTCCGATACTCAGCCTCTGCCGTAGAACGAGCAATAACATGTTGTTTACAAGAGCTCCAGGAAATCAAATTGTCACCAAAATAGACACAATAACCCGAGGTCGAGCGTCTATCTGCATCTAACCCCCAGTTCGCATCAGTAAAGCCTACTAAAGACAACCGTGATGAAGTTGAAAATCGAAGACGAAAATCAAAAATAGCCTACAGATACCTCAGAATTCATTTCACTGCCTAAAGATGAACCTCACACGGTGCTTGCATGAATTAACAGACCTTGTTTACAGCAAAAGCAATGTTTGGTCTCGTGATGACAATGTACTGCAAAGCCCCAACAACGCTCCTGTAATGAGATGCATCCTCAACTGGTATTCCAGTGTCAACCTCCAGCTTGCAATTTGAGACCATAGGTGTAGGAAGGCCCTTAGCATCCTCCAGTCCATTTTTAAACAATAGATCACGTATGTATTTTTGCTGACTTAAGAGCCCAAGATCCTTTAGTGCAAACTGATTGTTAAGGCCGTTAATCATATCTTGCACTTCTTCTTTACAGCTTCATGTGATGATGATATCATCTACATACACTAGTATATACATGATGTTGCTAGCAGTTTCCCTAACAAATAGTGAAGCATCAGACCTTGCTAACACAAAATCCTGAGCCACCAAAAACTCCTTTATCCTCTCAAACCACGCTCGAGGAGCCTGTTTAAGCCCATAAATAGCTTTGTTAAGCTTGCAAACTAAACTTCCATCACCTTTCTCATAGCCTGGTGGTTGTGTCATATATACCTCCACAGTTAGAACTCCATTGAGGAAGGCGTTATTTATATCCACTTGCCTCAACTGCCATCCCTTAGCTAGTGCAAGCGAGAGCATAACTCGTACTGTTGCTGGCTTGACCACAAGACTGAAGACTTCATGATAATTGAATCCTGGCTGCTACAGAAAACCCTTGGCTATAAGTTGAGCCTTGTACCTTGCTATGGATCCATCAACATTTCGTTTGATTTTGAAAATCCACTTACAGTTAACTGCTTTCCTTCCACTCGGGAAAGGAACAAGAGTCCAAGTATTGTTCTTCACCAGTGCATCGAACTCCGTTTGAGCAGCAACTCTCCACTCAGGACTCTTCATGGCTTCTCGAATGGTCCTCAGTTCTTTATCTGAGCAAGCCACTTGAAACACTTTCGGCTTCCAAATCCCATTTTTGCTTCGAGTTACCATGGGATGAGCATTAGACTGTTCAACACCAGCCTGAGACTCAACACGTGCGAGAGCACTAGGCATTGAATCATTCACAACAACATCATTATCATTAATCGAAATAGATAGAACACAAAACTCACGTACACTGGTAATCGTTCCTCCATCACATGCCATAGCAGGTACTACTGAACCATTACCTGCACACACATTCTCTATAGTGTTTGTTGCTTGCGATGAGCCAGGAAGACGCAAGTCAGGGCAACGATTACAGCTATGCAGTAGATTAGGCACAACCTCCTCACATCTTCTAGACTAATCACTGTGTAACTCTCCAGATGATCATACTACATGCAGAAAATTTCTGGAAGTGACAATGTCACAACTAAACCGACCTTCTCCTCTCGTACCAACATAAGTAAAAACTCCTTCATCGAACACAACATGTCTTGAAATGAAGATTCTCCCACTATCTTCTAAACATTTGTATCCTTTATAAAAAGGACTATATCCAAGAAACGTGCATCATTTTGACCTGAAATCCAACTTATGTTGGTTGAATGGCCTTAACAAGGGAAAACAGGCACATCCAAAGACCCTAAACATGGAATAATCAGGAGTTTCCTTATAGAGAACCTCAAAAAGAGACTTGCCACTTAACAAATCAGTTGGTAAGCGATTTATTAAATAAACGACTGAAATAAACGCATGACTCCAGAAATTTAAAGGTAATTCAGCCTCAGCTAGCAGTGTTAATCCCATTTCAAAAACATGCATGTGTTTCCTCTCGGCTTTCCCATTTTGTTCAGACGCACTTGGACAGGAAATCCTTTGTTGTACACCATTAGCAAGGAACCAACCTTTGAGAGCTTGGTACTCTCCTCCTCCATCAATCTGAACAGCTTTAATTTTGAAGCCAAACTGAACCTCTACCATCTTATAGAAATTTAAGAAACATTGCATAACTTCAGACTTCCTTTTTAGTAGATAAACCCAAGTATGTCTACTATGTACATCTATAAAGGACACATAATGCGAATAACCATCAGCAGAGATAACAGGTGCCAAACCCCAAACATCTAAAACAATCAATTAGAATAGTTCCTTGTATTCAGTTAAGGAATTACAAAACGACAACTTATGAGCCTTGCTTTGTAAACATGTTGTTCATACATGAGACAACTTATTTTCATTAGAACTGACATTGCAAGTCTTCATTACAGCTCGAACAACAACCATCGAAAAGTGACCAAGGCGTTTGTGTCACAAATCTATTGAACTCGATGCTTTCGAGACATTATTCAACTGCTAGCTCAAGTGCTTTACAGTGTGTGGTAGCAACTGATACAACCCATCACGCGTGAGCCTCCCTTTCAACAAGATCTCCTGAGTCTGTGTGTCCTTCACAAAACAGTCAAACGGGTGAAACTTTATAAAGACTTTATTATCACGAGTGAATTGCGACACGGACAGCAGATTCTTCTTTATGTTTGGTACATGAAGCATATTTTGTAGCAACAAGGGCTTCGATTTACTCATCAGACAGGACTGTCCTATATTTGCAATCTTAACACCCTCTCCATTTCCCATAAGTAGAGTATTGTTACCTGTGTAAGCTGTACTAGAATTGAAGGCGGACAAATCATTGGTAACATGATGTGTAGCTCCTGTATCTGGATACCAGACAACATCAGTAGGTGTAATTGAGGCATTGACTGAATGGACTGTGGAAACGAAAGCAGCTGGTGAAGATGACATCGAGGAACCAAACGGGCTCTTTCCAGTAGTATAACTAAACAATGGATCACTCGATGCTACACTCATATGGGGCACTCCCACTGGATATGCAACCTGAGAAGTGAAAAAGTGACCATTTTGGTAGTATGGCACTGAACCAAGCGATTACATGCCAGGAAAGATTGAGTTAACACCTGGATGACAAAAAAACACATGAGTCTGAGCAAAACTAGGATTCACCAAGTGATTGTACGCTTGTATGCTGACAACAAGTTGTTGTTTATCTCCCGAGAAGGCACGCGACTGTCTCTAGCCTTCATTAGTTGATGTAGTGGAGTCAGAAACCCCAGAATAGTCTTGATCAAACCTATGATAACACTTCTGTACAACGTGGATAAACTTTCCACATAGTTGACATTGAGGTCGATTAGAACTGTTGAAACGACCACGACCTCTGCCTCGAAAATTATCATTTTGTTGAACCTTTACGGAGTTTGGATGTGACTGAGATGCAGAAGTACTAGTGGACTTCAATTCATCTTTATCACTAGAATTAACTGCCATATTAGCTGAGGCATTTTCATATAGAAAAAGCTTTTGTTGAGCTTCACAATCAAGGAGCATCTCAGTTAGAACGTCCAATGAAAAGGAATCTCGAGAGGCTATAGCAATTATGGACTCAAATTCCATGGACAAGCTCAGTCACTAAACTTCCTGTTGCATTCAGCAAATCACAAACGGACTTAACTTTCGCCAG